CACAAATTATATATTTTTCTTGAAATTTTTATAAAGGAAATCTAGGAACTACATTAAATTTAATACTCACTGAGTTCTATGAATAACTGATCTGTTCACTGTTGCTCACGTTAAGCTGCCATCAAGGTGTTTGTATAATTGCCCCAGTAGTGAATAACTTATATTAAAGGTCCATTTTTGCATCGATTCAAATCCCAGCATTCATCATTTCTATTGCGATTCGAGGCTTGTGCCACAATATCAACTTAATCTTCTTTTAGAAATAGTTTGTTGGAATTCAATGAATTATGAGTATGGTCATCTGCCCTCATTATGTTAGTTATAAAGGAACAGGAGAAAAGGAAAGGAGGAGGAGGAGGAGGAAATAAGAACTATGGACGGGTCGAAAGAGATCAAGAAGAGAGTGGCATTTATATTGATCGATGGATTAGGTGACGTCTCGTTGCCGAGATTCCAGCACCAGACCACTCTTGAAGTGGCTAATACTCCTAATTTGGATGTAATTGCTTCTACTGGAGTAAACGGTCTCATGGATCCTGTGGAAGCTGGCTTGGGCTGTGGGAGTGACACTGCACATCTTTCTTTATTGGGGTATGATCCAAGGGTTTATTACCGAGGTAGAGGAGCATTTGAGTCGATGGGTGCTGGATTGGCCATGGCCCCTGGAGACATTGCATTCAAGGTCATACTTCTTCCTTCACCCTATGCAAGTATTTCTTGTTGCTGTTATTGATATACTCAATTACTCATCACGATCGCACCATTTATTTTCTTTTGAGAAAAACACATCACCAGTTAAGCAATGTAATGAAGATATGGTGATTTTTTATTGAATTATTGCTTTGGTACAGTCACAATTTCATCTGGGCAGCACTCAATTTCTCTCATTCATGATGATTTAGTTTGTCGTGTCACCCACAAAAGTGTTTGATCTTTTTGATGAAGTTTCCACTAAAGTGGCGTTGTTTACAAAAATGACCCGGAGCCTAAACCTGGACAATCATATAATGGGATTTTGAGGGTGCGACTCTTCAAGTTAGAATGTGTTTAATTTCTTGTTGTAATATGCCTCAATTTTCATTATGATGTACTCAGATTTTCAGGTTGCACTCTCTGAATCGCAAGGTTGAAACTAGATATGTCATGTCGCCAGCAAGTATTGATGTTATTTTGTATCAATTGTTTGCGTCCTTACTGATATCAGAAAAACCACCTCCATGTGAAGATGAATTGGAATTTCAAGAAGTGGTTTGATGTTTATAATAATCATATAATACATATGGTTTGTGCATGCTTGTTCACTGAAAACTGGTCAAATGAAGGTCACACAACTTCATAGGCTTATGATACTGTTTTCTGGTAAATATCAGGGAGGAATCAAGATTAGTTCAGAGTTCAGACCATAGTAAGTTGAAGTTATTGTGCTATATAGCGATAGAAGTTATCTACAATTTTAGTAAAACAATCCATAAACCAATTAACTTTTCTCAAGGGAGGACATTACTTTCTTCATAGTGTTCCTACTTTTAACATGAATTACAGTAAAGAATTCATAATTTTTGGCATGAACCAGCATCTCACTTTCAACACATTTGGGCGTGTTTGACGTGCCAGCTTTCATGGAAGTGTTTGGCATATCATAGTTTTAGTAAGAATTTGTAGTATTTTTTTCCTCATTCCTGTGAATTGTTGAAGAAAAATTGAAGTATATTTTTTGCAATAAAATTTCTTGATGTTTCCTTTAGATACTTCTCTTTTAAGTGGTAGATATATATTCAGCTTGAAATTTATCAATTTTTCGCCTTGACATTTCAGTCAAACTTTGCAACGATCGATGAGAACACTGGAATTGTTACTAGCAGAAGGGCTGACCGACATTTTGAGGAAGAAGGCCCAATCCTTTGCGCAGCGTTGGATGGAATGAAGCTTCCATCCTATCCTGAATATGAAGTGAGAATCAAGTGAGTTATCTCTATTTAGTTGGGGGGGGGGGGGGGGGCATGTATCATGTCATCTCTCATTGTATATACTACATCATCGAGAGTTTTTCTGGAAGTTTTCTAAATCACAATTCTGAAATGTTGATATTGAGTTATTCAAAATGTATCGATGTGATTAAGCGTCATCCTGTCCAGTTTCTATGATGTAATGTTAATTAAGGAATTTGAGTTGATGTTAGACAATTTTGATTGGATTAGTGCTCTTTGGATATCTTGTCAGTCTGTTACTTTATGATCCATTCAGATAGTTGCTTGAACCGCTTCACAAGCTGAGCTAGTTCAAATATTCCCTAATAGATAAACTTGTTTATTGTTTGATTTCATTTGCTAAAATTTAGTTGAGATATCCTGGACTGAGATTGATGATTGGTCTTTTCTTCCCAAAGGTATGCCACTGAACACAGATGTGGTGTAGTCGTTAAAGGGCCAAACCTGAGTGGAAATATATCTGGGACAGATCCATTAAAAGATAACAGATTACTGCTTAAAGCCGAGGCTCTGGATGATACAGAGGAAGCGAAACATACTGCAGCTGTAGTCAATGAACTTTCTAAGGAGATATCACGGAAATTGGTATCTCACCCTTTAAATGCGAAGCGGGCAGCAGAGGGGAAGAACATTGCAAACGTTATTCTCTTGCGAGGTTGTGGTATCCGAATTGAGGTCAGTTTGATCAAACTGGAATTAATTAGTGAACTTTGTCAAGCTAGATGCTTGTAAGTTCTGTTGTCTAAAAGAAGTTATGTGCACATAGGCATATTCCAGCTTTCTTGTATGCCTATCACTTAATTGACAATGTCATTATGTAAATGTAATTAATTGTTACTTTGCTACAACACCATACTCCATAGGACCTATGTTACCCGGGCACTTCATTATTGAAGCCGTACCCATACCGGACACGTACCCGACACTTTCCCGTACCCAAACTTCATAGACACTTCTTGAATATATGCATGCATTTATTATAACATATACTCAATTAGACGATATATGTGTTAATTTAAAACACTTGTCAAAGACTTCCTGGACGTAGAGCTTACAGACGATATATGTGTTAATTTAAAACACTTGTCAAAGACTTCCTGGACGTAGAGCTTACACTTCACATCCATCTTTTGAAACTAATGGGATACGGGTCGGGTTCGTTTCAGTCCATACCCAAGTTCATAACTATATAGTTAATGGGTCTTTTAGATGTCTAGTAAAAAATGAGTAGTTTACAATTCACAATAATCAATATGATAAAATAAACTCAAAAATGTGATCGAAATTTTAATTCTAATGACACATGAAGCGGAAAAAATAAACTCAAAAATGTGATCGAAATTTTAATTCTAATGACACATGAAGCGGAAAAAATTATCTCATGTACATTATTAATTCAATATATATATGTAGTTGTGTCCCCGTACCCAACATTTTACAGTTTTGCTGTGTCCCCTACCCGTACCCGCACCCGTACCTGTACCCGTGCCCGTTTCCATGCAACTTAGCATAGGACACTTGGACCATCCCCACTTAGAACAGGTTGGCCATGGAAGAAAAAAATTATGTTCTGATCCTTGGGAACAACTGCAATCAAGTTTAAAGTACCGTACCCTCATTTTCTTGTACAATGTTAGCTTCCTCTCTATCTTCAACAGTGTCACATGCTGGCGTACATAGATGAAAAGTTGTTTGACTAATGCATGTAGTTTTATTCTACACTATTTTTGTAAGTTATACTATATATTAAATTAAACCCTTTCCCTATATTTTTTGGTGAAGAACTTTTCTTATTGTTTTCATGTGTTTAGCCTTTATCTTTAAGAATTTCTTTTATTACCTAGAACTATATTTTAGTTAGAAATTAGAATGCCTTGGCCACAAAAAAAAAAAAAAGAAAAAAAGTTGTGCATCCAATTTGGTTGTTGCAGAAGTAAAAAGGAGTTCAGTTAATTCGAACATGTTTAGTTATGCTTACCTTCTTATATTATTCTTATACATATGAATATATGAAAACAATTCCACAAAGAATTTTTATGATTGCATGTGCATTGAACATGCCCAGAATTCTAGCACTATCAAAAGGCATGAGTTGTCTCCTTCCGTTGTTAGTGATATAACTAAACTCTTCACTGCCATTAGCTCTTATTCTTAGTATCCATTATGACTTCCACCTTTTTCATTTTCTTTTTTTTTTCGTCCCTAGGTTCCAGCTAATGGTTTATGTCGGGTATCTCAAGTTTCCTTGTACTGATAATTTCCTAGTTGGTGATTAGCTTATTGTAGAATAAGTAATCAGGATCTGAATTTTGTAGAGGCTTTCTTTCTGTGTAGGAAGCTATTCCAAAAAAACATCAAGTGGTTCAAATTTTCGCTAACTTAAAAATCTACAAGCTTCCTTCGATGTTGAAGAGTTATATTTTCTTATGTTGCATGACTGATGCATGTCAAAATTCTTGTATCTATGACATGCTACAGGTTCCTGCATTTGAGAAGACCCATGGTTTAGCCCCATGTATGGTTGCTCCCACCAAAATTATTGCAGGGCTTGGTCTGTCATTGGGTATCGATATACTTGAAGCTCCCGGGGCAACTGGAGATTACCGAACACTTCTAACCTCCAAAGCCAAAGCTATAGCTAATGCACTTTCTGCTCCTCTAGAGCCATGCCCAGGTGTTTTTGTACCTGGAGAGGATGATGCTAAACCAGGACGAGCTGGGGGATATGATTTTGGTTTCCTTCACATCAAGGTATGATTTTGGTTTCCTTCACATCAAGGTAATGGACGTCATCTCATTTATTCTTCTGCTTTCCACCAAGCTAAAGTATTAATTCCTTTGTATTTTCTCCGATATTTGCGAACTAATGCATATTTACCCATGTGAAATTATCCTGCACATTTTTTATTCAATTATTGGACATCCAAGAGAAGAAACTACATATTTATGTTCTTTCCATAATGCAAAACTATTTTTGGTTAATTTCGACTGGGCCCTGTATTATTGCCCAATTGTAGGTAGAACCCCTGTAGTTCTATTTATGCAGATTGACCTGTTGTGCTATTTGCCCACGTGCAGATAACCCCCTTAGTGAATTTTTTTCGGCTCTTTCTAAGAGAAAAAAATTAGCAATTGGGGGTCTATTCTCACCGATAGAACTACATGGGGTTTATCCACCGCATCAAAACTTTTTTGACTTTTTTAAGAGTTAAAAGGAATTTACTCCAAGGTACTATATGCTCAAATAGAACTATAGGGTGCCTATCAGCAATTGGGCTATAGTGCTGGGGGTACATTCACAATTAACCCTACTATTTTATCATTTTGTCCTTGCATGTAATTTTTTTAAGGTGTTGTAGGTATCATATGGTTATAGGGTTGTACAAGTACATAATGTTTCAGCAGTGTTGGTGTTGAGTAAGGGGCTGTTTGTTTGCCTAAAAAAGTGGGAAATCAAAGAATAGGAAATCAAAGAATATAAAATCTTGTATTATGGTTGTTTGGTTGGCTAAAAAAAGAAGGAAATCAAAGAATAGGAGATGAGATGAGATAAGTTGTCACTATATTATTGGATGATGTGAGTGATTTTTTAAGAAAACTTGTTTTGAGATTGTTTGGTTGGTTAAAAAAATAAGGAAATGTATTATAAGAAACCTATTTCCTATAATAGTTTCTTTCTTGTGTTTGGTTCATTCTTAAAAATAAGAAAATAGATGAGATGAGATGAGTTGTTTGTATATTATTGGATGATGTGACCCATACTTAAGAAAATCAATTTCCTTGTTGTTTTTTTTTTTTTTTTGAGGTAATGGGTGGAAATGAAATGTTAATGAGATGAGATGAATTGTCACCATATTATTGGATGATCTGAGTGATTTTTAAATATGAGATGAGTGATTTTTAAATATGAGATGAGATGAGTTGGATGATGTGGCCCATTTCTTGTGTTTGGTTTTTTTAGGAGATGATATGAGATGAATTGTTGGATAAAAATAATATTTTATTGGATAAAATGGATGCATTGTTAGATAAAAATAATATTTTATCGGATGTTGTGGTGAGTTTTAGGGATGGAAATGGAGAAAATTGATGTTTTTGAGATTTCCATGACCCAATTGATGTTGTGGTGAGTTTTAGGGATGGAAATGGAGAAAATTGATGTTTTTGAGATTTCCATGACCCAATTTCCTATTCTTGATTTTTAGGAATCCGACCAAACAGCCCCTAATG